CTGGCAATTTGATTGCTCCATTGCAGGAAGGGCTCAGTTGAATTACCTATTCAATCTCCCTACAGTCGATATGTACAGGTATCGTTGAGCGGAGGGTCGTGGCTGAGGCCGATCCGAGACGGGCGTTAGGAACGATTGTGGGTAATCGATTTGCCGCACGCGGCTGTCACGGACCACTCATTCGCCGTTATTACAGCTCTAGCGTTCTTCATACAGCTCAATCGATATACTATCATTATTTTATGCATAATTCTACTATTAGTACTTTTGTTCTTGTATTCCTTACCTACTGCTGCATCCTGCTACATTCCTTCGCGCGCGACGCCCCTCTCACCGCGACGCGTCAATTTCGTTCCTAACGTACCACACCCCCGATCTACAGACACTGTTCTTGTCCGCACGTAGGACAAGCCTTCCTACATTCAGCTCTTTGGTTGGTTGTATGCTGTCCATATCACACCTCTTATCATGATCATGGGCCGCATTGCGAACGAGCAGACACACCCATAAACATACTAACTGATAAACCGACAAACAATCTGAGAAGGCTTACTGCTCTATTATGCAGAGCAGCTCCCATCACGGGAGCCCGCGATGCTTTGTGCTACGCGAACCATGAACGCTCGTAGACATATGTGAACCACGGGCGTTGTTATGATCAGCGAATAAGCCACCACCCGATTTTAGCTTATCAAAATTGAAGTAACCAAGATTGAAAACTTGAGAACTTTAATTTTTCGCGAGTGGTGACGGTTCATGTTCTTTATGTGGGTGCAATCCATCTGCAGGCTTATGGTCTGCAGCTATTTTCAAAGTTTCACATTCCAACAGTGAATTTTCCTGCTCTGCTCTGCCAGTGTTGTCTTTACCAGTGCGTATTGAGAGCGGAATTTTGTAAGATGGTAAGCATCGAGCATCATTGACGCCGAACTATGAAAGCGCTCATGCTGTGAGTGTGTCAAAGTGCCGCAGACCGCAGTACACGCGTAATTGTCGCAAAGGATGAGTTCAGGATGCTCTCGTAGGATAATTTGTGAAGATAAACTATTCTAAGGTTTTTCTCTTTTAGTCGATGCTGACCATCACGTCATATATCAACATGCTAGTTTTACTAAGGGGTTTGCTTTCTTTCCCTAACGTCTCAATCTCCTGTTTAACTTTTGTCCCGTTGATCATTGATTTCCTTAAGCGGAAGCCTGTAGCCCAGTGCATCGTACTCGCATGAGTGACCAATGCACAGAATTCCTTTCATGAGGAAGACTGATTGCTACAACCGTGTTGGTGTCTGTTTGATGTCCCAGAAATCAGACTGGCATCTTTCATAGTCCACGTTTTTGCGAGCGACCAGTCGCGCGACGGGTCAGGACCCATCTCGCGAGCGACTGGCGACTGGTCGCCGGTCGCCGGTCGAGGAGGCCGCGCTAGTTATGGGTGTCGCCGAGGACGGTCCCGAGCAGATTGCACGATCAGCGACCGGTCGCCCGACCAGTCGCCAGTCGCTCGCGGACTATGAAAGCGCTGGATGGTCTCCCAGCTCCTCTGCTCTTTATCTTTTTTCTTCTTTCAATCTATTTTCTTGCTTAACAATGACATTTTTCTCAATTGTCTTTGATCTTCTACGGTTCACACCTCCATTTCACAAATTGCCATGTAAGTTCGGTAAGAAAGCGGTATCTCATCCACTGTCTCAACTTCAAAGCAATGAGAGTTCAGAGTCCGATGGGCAGCCCAAAGCTGTCGTATTTAATCATTATGTATTGGTCGTATTTCATCGGACTTCATTATTCATTTGATAAGTTTTGGGATTAATTGACACCCGCATCCACAATTCTTCTACCTCCCCTTTCTCCCCTACAACTTTCCTTCCCCGCCCACTCCGCCTCCACTGATATGGTGCCTTGACGCTCGTGTTGCTTCAACGGTTCAGAAAAACGTTCCTTGGAAAAGAACTAGTCCTGATTTGTGGTCATTATATTGATTCGTTTCTCGTCTGACAGAGAAGGCTTGCTGCCTGATTTCCTTCAGTACTCTGTCTCTAATTTATTAGTAAGCGCAATATCTGAGCTGCAGCTGGACATTACTACAATTGTTGCAGTCAAAGGTCGGGTGGTACTCTTCTGGCGACTAGTTCTTAGCAAGCTTGTCTTGTCATTGATGGAAACTTACTCCAGAGTACAGGTCAATGTACAAAAAATTCGTTCAGACCACGTCACAAGACCATCCCGATCTACACTGCCTTCACCCTATGAAAGAACAAGGGGCAAAGAGTTCCATGAGGTTCCTCGTTTTTCCGTCGAACTGTTCTTTGTTTACTGATCTTAGATTCCCGATGCATTTTCCAGCATAGATTATTTACATTGGATGCTTCGTCAAAAATCACGTAAGCCACCACAGTTAGAAGGCTCGTTTTCCCCTAGCGCACCTAAAAACCGTGCCAGATACGAAAGCTATATGCAGTGCTTGAGTTCATATCGTTTACGACATGAACTAATCCCCAGAACCCCGAAATTCCAGGCAATCCCCAATCACGTGAGAAAGTGCTGAAGCTTCAACAGGTGGTAGTGCAATTGCGTACCAAGCACAATTTATTAACGCCTAGCTGTCATACTGAATGTGAAATGAGGTTCGATTGCCTCGAGATCCGCTCTGCATCACATCTTTGATTCCTGCTCCAGTTGTTTCCAATCTTCATTGCACTCCCTAAATTCAACATATTTCGAGGTTATGGGAGTAGCGGCTAGCAAAGACAATGACGATCTGACAGACAACTTGGTTAAACATGGACAAATAGTTTCAAAAGAAGTTGAACTGGTTTTCAGGTCAGCTTTGATAAATACACATTCAATATATTTCCAAACATCAAAGTTATTTTCAGACTTGTTGACAGGGGACGCTTTTTCCCTATCGATTATGTGGACGAGGCGTATCGTGATAATCCATTTAAGGTATTCTTTTTGTTTTTGTCTTATTTAATTTCTTTTTCGGCGTCTAGGAGACAAGGGAAAGTTTTTGAGGAATGTCTCAAAAGCACTTTACATCTCTACAGTATCACCTGGAAAATATCTTCTTGAAGCTTTCCAAATGTTTGCTAAAAATTTCCGTTCGGACGTTCTACAACTTCATTGAACATCGGCCAGAAACACGACTTTTTACACTTAATCCTTCCTTTTGTGTTTCGATGCATAATATTCTTTCCACTATTCTACATGTGTAGGAAAAGTTTGCCACTTAATGCACGATTATTGATTAGTTTTGAGGTCCCTGCTGAAGCTACTGGAGAATGGACTCCCGGAAAACTTCACATATCTGCCCCAAGCATGTATGCTACTGTTTTGGAAAAGCTTGACTTGAAACCAGGACACGCTTTTCTCAATGTTGGGTCTGGTACCGGCTGGCTGAGTACAGCTGCCGGTTTCTTGATTGGTCAGTTTTTTTTTTGTTTCGAAGCTCACTTTCAGATGATCCATCATTTAAGCAAGGACGACATAACTTCATGAATAATTTTTGATTCCATTTGCTTTTAACAGTTACCCTTGAATCCAAGTGATGGCACTCTTGCAGCAACATGCCATGAACAGTGTCAGTCATGCGCTTAATATCGATTATTTAGGTGATGGTCTTTCACATGACTCCTTCAAGTGTGCGAGAGTTTTGAATGAATATAACTTTTCACATAGGGTTTCTCGTTCATTAAGCCAACACATTATGAAAAATTATCTCACTAGTTCCTCCCACTTTTCTGCTGGATTGATAGCAAATTCTAGAATTCTTGTGAAAACATTTTGTGAGCTGCGTGCTCTTTTTTCTTCCCTGCAGTCACGCATCCTATACTTATATGATGATAATTTTAATTTAGGTGGTTCTGGAATCAATCATGGAGTAGAAATTCATGAGAACCTTATCAAATTTGCCGAAGAGAAACTTGCAGAAACCATTGAACGTCCTGAGGTCTGTGCGTTCCCCTGGACGAAACCTGCGTAAGTTTTAATTTTCAGTTTGGGAAGCATGCTTTCAAGAGATACTTCGTGAAGATGTTTTCGTGGAAATTTGAAGCGGGGGCAGCTCTACATATTTGTCATGTGTTCATTGTGCTGGAAGATTGGAAATTTCACCAAATCGACCAGCCGGTTGGGCTACCATTTCCATCCTTTTAGCACAAAAACAAACTTTTCCATGGACTGCAATTTCGATAAGTATTGATCAGCTCAATCAACTTTTTTTCGTCATTCATGACGTATTGGGTTTTGCAGTCTCAAAGAACATCGTCAGATTGCTTCTCAATGGCTAATCAAATAATGAGCATTTTTCTTCCGCATAACTTTTTTAATTAAATGTTTTTGTACCTGGGTCAGAAAGTTTTTCTGGTCGACAGCGGCCTGAACCCTTTTTTGCAACTTGGCTTACTATGCCCTCTAGAACGTCTATTATCTAGCGCGTATAGGAACCTATGCAGTCGTTTTCTATCGGGTCTCAGCAAGTCGACTGATCTTTACCTTTCAGTAAAAATCTTTGTTTAGGTTTTTCCACGGCAATGGCCTAGCCCAAGAAATGAGTCAGACAGCACACTTGTACGATCGTGTTTACTGCGGAGCTGCAGTTTCAGATGAGGATACTGTTAATCGACTTATCAAATTATTAGAAATCGGTGGCAAACTTATTGTCCCAATTAGGAATAGCGTACGTCTTTCCTAGTGTATGGTTATAATGATCATTGCAGCAACTGAATGTGATTCACCTTCATGTTGTTTAGTTGATGGCTTATACACGTACTGGTGAGAATACCTTTTCATCCCAAGTTCTTATGGCATGCCAGTTCGCAGATCTACTGCCACCAAAGGAAGAAGACCGTCGTGATTGCCTCCCCTGCTTAGTTCGGTCAGTAACGTGCCTACTATCAGTTATGCTTCGAAAATTCACCTCCATTCTATATTATTTGTGTTTTTATTAAGACCTCCTTCTTTGGCTGATTTGTGCAGAGATGTCATACGAGCATCCCTTCGAAAAAACGTTCTGAAGGAGTGCCCAGTTTTTATGCGAAGTATTGTCGATGAGTCGGTTCCATCAGGGTTGGCGAAAACCTTTCTTTCTTGACCTTTTCTAACCTTAGTTTTCCCATTCGATGCACATATGTATGTCTTCGGTAGAAGAAATAATTTGACTTCAAATTGAACATGATCTCTGTTGGTTGCCCATCAGATTGTGTATTGATTTGACTTACAGATCTCTTTTATCATTAAGGCCTGATAATTCTTCTCAAGCCGATGGTGATGGTGAAATGGGCAACGGACAGAATCATGAAGAACTCAACATTATTCGTCATCCAATTCGTGTTGAACTGTTTCGGAATCTTGGAGCAGCTCGCATCCGTCTTGAAGGGCACGATCGAGCTAGACGTGAGCAGAGGTGAGTCTTACTGGATTAGAACCAACAGCGAAGGTAGGGTAGGTTTCTTGATGTTCTCCGAATGTCATTCCTTGAATGTCACCTAAGTATTTTGTCGCACATAGGTCTCGTTTTCAGCTATAAGATATTAGTGATGTCTGTATATGCCTGCCTGTTGTATGGAAACGCAATGGCGCAGCATATCAGTAAGAAAGGGGTGATTTGGATTATGGCGATTTCAGCCATCGCCTAGAAGTGCACTGCTGACTCATCCTAGCAACCAAGTCTCGCACAAGGGGCAGTAGGGAAACGAGATCCAAGGCCGGACAGTGTACTTTGAAGCATGAATGTAATCTTTCCATTTAAGGCGACACCAGCAAAAGTACGATATCTAACCGGGAGATTGTAAGGCTTTGCCATAGGTCATAAACTTTACATGCCATTACTTCTCGAAAAAAGTACGGACGCTGAGGCACCATTTTGCCTCTAACTAAAATTTCGTAATGTGTTTATGAGTCCTCTGATGCATAGCTACCACCGCAGTTATTTAAAAGATCGAGCTTGGCCATAGAATATTCTTTTCTTTACAAAACGTAGACTCGGCATACTAACTTAGTTCGTTTAACAGCAATGAAAAGATGCGTTCTGTGACCGTCCTAGTGCACCCAAGAAAGCGTATTCTAGCCATGACTTGCAGTTTTTTTTTGCGGAATGTTCATTGGATTTCATTCAGGGGTCGCGATGTTATGATGCGCGATATAGTAACAGTTCAACTGCAAGATGGAGAACGAGCGAACGGACCAGGTCACGGTGATACCGATCGTGATTTTGACTTCGGCGCTGGAATGTTCGTTTTTGCAGATGAAGGACCTCCGGCGGACGATGAAGAGCTCGACGATGACGACAGGTAAACGGTTTTCTTTGTGGGTATACGCTTTTATCATTAGCTTTACTTATTTGAGCTCAATCTCATTTCAAGGGCTTCGATCACCCACATTGATCAGTGTTCTTATCATTCTTGCTTTCCTCTATTTAGCCTTTCTCATTGAAGAACCGACCACTACAGCCTCCCATCTTAATCTCTTGTCTCAACTTGACGAGGTTTTTGGATGTTTTCCTTAACGTTGTTTCCGTTTTTCATCACAGCAACGGGGTTTGCTCAAGACCAACCAGCTTTGTTTTCATATTCTTCCAATCCACGCGTGCAAACACTCGGAATTGTCTTCTCATATAAGCAAGTGTTTGAAATATTTATTTCTTGAAGGTTTTCAATTTTACAGTGGCATTTCTCATCTCGTCTGGTCATTGGTCACAAGATTTTTTTACGCGCACCTGTAGGGCAGGAATGTTACCGGCAATTAGAGCAGGATAGCTTACACTTAGTCGAGATTGACTTGGAATCTTCAAGATATTGTTAGTTGGATAGAGGCTTAGGTGTTGAATATGACTGTTCGGGCATCGGGGGTATGACAGTGAACTCATCGGAGACAGCATCTCCTCGAAGGAGCGTAAACGAATAAAATCTGTTTACAGATATGGTAAAGTAAGTTTTTCCCTCTGTTCCCCCTGGAAAAATCTGTTAATTGTTTAATAATTCACCTCTACTTTCTCAGTAGTCTTATCTTTCTCTCATCCATCACTGTTCTTGGTTTTTCATCAGCTTATTCAACAGCATCGTTCTTCATTCTGCTGGACAAACATTCTTGCAGCACCATTCTATTTTTACCCAGCTTCCTCCCTTCATAAATAATCCATGAATTCACATCACTATCTCTAAATGAATCACTTTTTTTAAATGTAAAACCGCCAGTTGTAACGAACAAAATACTTCTTTTTTCTTCTAAACAGAGAAGTACTCATTGAATACTGTACTGCTATTATGTAACGATTTCATTACAACAGTTGTTGGGTTCTCTCGGCTGCTTACATGGTCGAGCGTAGGACGCGAGCGTACGGGCGCATTTTGCTGCGTTAATCGGACATCAAAGTGACTAACCTTGGTTATTGTTAAACAGTTCTAGACCACAATTTAGAAATTTCTTGCAACGTGTTATGAGGCCTTTCTCACACTGTCGTACCTCTTAAAACTCCTCAAGCTTTCGTTCTAACGTTATCCCTTGAAACCTTTCCATTGACATTTCGCTCACCCGGGATATGCTTCTTTTTGCACAATTGATTATGTGTTACAACGTTAGCTAATTGAACCAATGGCTCGATTTTTTGGTATTTCGTCAGCCGTTCCCCCACGTTTGATGTTGTTTACACAGACCCGTTCATGATTGATCGTTCAAATGGAAACATATTGCTGAAAGCCTTGCGCTACCACGAAGCTTGACTGTATTATAATGTTGCAGAACTGGCAGGTAGCCATAAAAACGCTCACGCTCTACGTTTCTCGGCTATGTAAGCAGCCGTAGGGCGAGAAATTATTTTTGCAGAATGGGCCTACACTGGTTAAACGCTATTCTTGGCTTCGAGCGTGAAGCACGAGGTCTTCGCGATCGTGAACCTGATGGCGATCGCGAGAGATCAGCATCACTGAGTGATGACTCTTCAAGCGATACGTCCGTTGATGAGGGGGCGGCTGACGGCACTGAAGAACCTGTGGCTGAAGCATCATCTGAGATGCCAGAGGAAAAGAACAATAGCTCTAATGAAGTAAATGGATCAAGTCAGGACAATGAAGGAAACACATCGAATGAGGTCACTTCGATGGTAACAGATTCTGCTGATGTAAAAGCTGAAGACGTCCAACCAGATCCGGAAGTGAGTTTTTCACAGTATTCCTCGAACTTGTCTTTACTCGCTTCAATTGGCACCATATTCATTAATAGATCTTCAGTTGGTTTACAAGATTTCATTACAAGATTTGACAAAAGTATTTTTCTATTGACAGCCGTTTCTTTTCTATTCTTTTTTCCGAACGTTATTATCGGACTTCTTTTCCGCATTAATAATCACGAGTTTTTATTACAACTTTAGTATTAGACATCGTATATGAGTATTATATACTTCAGGAGTCGAATAATGGTCATCCCCATGAGGAGTCTGAAAGTAATGGTCATCCCCATCAGGAGGAGTCGGAGAATAACGGTCATGATGAACAACAAGGAGAACCTGAACCTGAACCTGAACCTAATGCTGACGAGGATGCCAACGGCGAGGATCGTAATTGGGAGAGGTACTTCTTGTTTTCATATCTTGATGCAGCAGTCCTTTTTTGTCCTCTGATCTTGTAACTTTTATTAAATCAAACGTTAATGAGAAAATTTAGTTTTCCGCGGGACGTTATGGATCTACGGGAGTTCCTAGCGTCAAATCGTAATAATCGCGGCAGTTAGTGAAATGTCCCTTTAAAAAATTAGCTTTCATTAGAAATCTGGCCTATTCTTTTTCTAGGAGCAGATCGGAACAACAGAAATAACAACGACGCCAGTGGATCGAACTCGACTCGAAGACCACGTCCATCAGTGTCACGACGTAGCGCTAAGAGGGCACGCATAGCAGACGGTGATAACAATGATGACGAGGTTAGCTACATTGTTTCGTTACAGCAGTAGCAGCCTCAGAGTCAATGAAAATTGGCCAAAGGATTTTCGTTCAGATCAGTCGGGTAGTTCCAGGCTACGTGCCATACGATAAGTACGTGCATTTGAAAATGAATGTTGATGAGGTGCGAATAGATAGAACCAGTACTGCGGCCAAAGTACAGGCGCGATAATTAATAAAACTGCAGTTTTATATCTTATCGATTATTTTCCGTTCCATTATACTTTCGGGTGTTAGAAAGATGTTATTCGGTGGCACAGCTATTATTAGGATAGCAATATAAGGCGAAAACTATATATTGTTAATAATCTTCGACCGGGGTAGCACCTGATCCTGATTTTGGGTTGTGAGTTGAGGCCAGTAAAGTCTGTGACTGATTTCACGTATGAATATCAAAATGGGCGGACGTGATGAAGAGGCAAGTGGCCCGCTATCACAACGCATGGTCGCGGTTTCGAATCCCGGATCGATATTAGCTTAGGTCAATTGGCCTTCCATCCGTCTGGTGTCGATTAATTGGTACCAGACTTGTCGAGGAGGTTAAAAGCACTGACTTGTACATCAGGTGGTAACAGGAGGTCATGGTTATTGGCCACATACGCATTCAATATGCCACTACCATTGTGAATTGAAGTCGAATGTGGGGCGCATACTTGAGGCGGGACTGTTCAACACCCAGAAGCTTTATTCTTTTATGAATATCAAAAGTGCCTTTTTTTGAGCACTTTGAGTTTCTTATGGGGTCCAGTTGGAACGCTGTGTTTGTCGAGTTCAAAACAATTCACTTTCAAAACCATACGTTTTCAACCAGTGCAACAAACGTAGAACTCTTGGTGACCCAATAAACAAGCACATCGATAAATGTCGAAAGTTGGGATACATTCGTGCTATGTGGTAGCATGTGCTTTCTGCTATCCTCTGCAGAAAGAACGACCTGTTCAAAGTCAAATAGCGTTTGGCCCAGCATTACAGACCCCATCGATTATAAATCTCGATGGAACTCTATGGTAAAGTCATTCCTTTTTGGTAAGCCCCTTCTAATGTAGTAATATTTAGCTGGCATTTCAGATGCCCTTTGTGGTTCAAAGATACTTACTACAAAGAATAAGGTGGATAGCAATGACAATTTTTGGAACTGTTTAGGTAGAAAAACAGGCCGAAGAGGAACGCGATAAACAGCATGCGTCGCTAAAGAACTTTGGTGAGGCTTTCAATGAGGCCATGTGGAAACTTCCACTGCCGAAGCACTTGATCAAATACATTGCATTGCACTCAATTGCTCCAATGTTCGCTACCGATCAGACGTGCAGATGGAGGTAAACTTCTCGCATCCATAATTACCGTTTTTCCAAACAGTTGTACATAATTCGTTCGGGCACGATTTGGCAGTCATGTAGCCTTCTCTGACTGTTTGACAGTCCAAATTTTTTTCGTGGATGTACATGCATGTTCATATCTCCATATTCTTTATCTAGTAATGTTTGCCTATAGTTGAAATCAACGAAGAAATTCTCTACTAAATTGTGTAGATCTATGAGTTTGCAAATGAAAATTATTGGAGGGTCTTATAGATGTAACAATGAGCACAATTCTAGAGTATACACATGATTATGCGATATAAATATAATCAAAGTGAAATACAAGACACCGTATTACAAGAAAGAACATCAAAGTGATTCACTTGGCGGTCCACTGAGGGCCAACTTATGAGCGAGTTGAGATCTGAAAAAAAA